TATTAATTTTATCAGATAAATGATATGTTAAGAGATAGGTATAAATATATAAACATATCAACATATAACATATAAATATAACATATAAACATATAAACATACTTGGTGAATTAATTCCATCTGCACCAATTAATAAATTTCCAAATTCTCTTGTTCCATCTTCGAACAATACCCAAACTCCGTCATCACTTTCTTCATATCCGACACATTTTTTACCCCATTGAATATCAACCCCTTCTAATAAAATATCTCGTAATCTATTACGATATGAAACTAATCCAGCGTAATCATGTTTAATACTTTCTATTTCATAAACGGTTTTAGGTTTGCGTTGTGGTAAACAAATCAATTGTCTTCCTACATGGTCAATCATCGATATAGAATGTTGCTCCTTAGGGACTGGATCTGGCATTGCTTCAGGAAAACGGATTTGGACTTCTGGTGGTGTACAATAAAATAAGGAGGTAACTCCCTTTCTATTAACGTAAATATTATAACCTTGCCAACGATCTAATTAAATATAAAATCATTAAATGTCAATAAATAGTAAACACTCATTTTTTTTAATAAAATAATTTAATTAATATTACCTTGAGGACCAGACTCACGTTCGAATATTTTAACTTTAAATTTTTGTCCAAGATTTTTTCGAACTGAATGATAAAAAGTAAGTCCACCTATACCTGCTCCAACAATTATAATTGTTGGAAGCTTTTCTGTAGTTTTTTCCATTTTTTAATTATAAAGTTAAAATAATTGTCTTTTTAATTATAAAGTCAAAATGATTAACGTTAATTCTGTCTTTTTTAATTATAAAATCAAAATAATTAATTCGGTCTTTTTAATTATAAAGTCAAAATGATTAACGTTAATTCTGTCTTTCTAATTATAAAATCAAAATGATTAATTCTGTCTTTTTAATTATAAAGTCAAAATGAATATTCGATCTTAATTATTTTTTCAGATTCTTGAACCAGCTGCTTTATATCTTTTTCGCTTAATTATCGGCTACATAATCTCTCCGTCTTTTTTTCCATATTTGTACAAAAAAATATACATTATTGCTCATAAATGTCCCGATATCGTAAATTTTTCTAAAAATAAACTATATACGTATTTACGCATTAATGCATTTTGAAATTATTCCGATACTCCGATAGGATATTCTTAGCTAATTTAACAATAATAAACACTCATTAGTAAAATGGTAAACAAACTTACATATGTGAAACCATACATACGATCGATATCGGCAAATTTAATACCGGGATTCTGCATCTTGATATTTTGAAGAATTAATTCAATGTATGACTCACATTTTATCACGGTTTTCTTGAATTCTTAAAATTTATTGTAAAGGAAAAAATAACCTATGTTTATATCATTGGTTTTAATTTACGTAATTATGGTTTCAAATACAAAATACTGTATTTTTTTTTTTATGAAATGAAAAAAATTTTTTTAATGACTCATTTTGACCGTACGATAAATTTTATATTCTGGCATAAATTTATATGTTATATGTTGATATGTTTATATATTTATACCTATCTCTTAACATATCATTTATCTGATAAAATTAATA